TTGATGTACGAGTGGCTTCGGTAAAGCACTCAGGTAGCTGAGTTGGGTGTGCGGCGCCACCTGCTGTCGCTTTGGGTGATAACAGGGGCTGGCTGAGTTACCAGCAAAGCAGTGGGAGTGTTAGGGGGCGCAGACTGCACCCCTGGGGTGACGAACCCTCACACCCCTAATCAAGAGCAATCACCGAAGAGCCTTTATTAGTGACAAACAGCTGGTGAATGACTCATTACAAGTAACCGTCGGCCAGGACTCACTAGCCAGCAACAGATGGCAATGAAGGATTGTTGACTAATGAACTGGGATAATTAAATCACAATTAAGAGGTACTGACTTATTAATTACAATGAACAAACTGCAATAATTAAAGACCTATGAACAGGCCAGCCGACAACTCATAGTGAAGGAACTGTGATAATTAAATAGTAATTAAACGAGGCCAACGAACACCTTGACCTTAATGAACTTTGGTCATCAAATAGCACTGAAGAGAAGCCAATTAACGAATGGCAATTAACGAATGCCGAATGAATTGATGCCACTGGCTATTTTCCTCCTTTGGTACCTGGGGAGGGAGTCAGGTGGAATTGAGGGGCCGGGGGGCTCATTTCAGACCCCCCCCTCCGAGCCTTGTTGTGCGCGGCCGCCGGCCGGGCCCTCCTGGCAGCGCCCCAGATGCAGCCGCAGCGCGCCCTGCAGGTGCATGCCCAGGTAGCGGGTGAACTCATCGGGCATGGCGTGAACGCCTGGCTTGGAGGGCTGGTTGTCGTAGTAGTGGTGGGACAGGGGCCGCCCCTCGGGGTCGGTGGGGAAGGGCCAGAAGCCGTAGAGGGTGAGGTGCTGGCACAGCTCCAGGGCGGCGTTCACCAGCATGAAGCCCGAGGAGAGGCGTTTGGCGCGCAGGCCACGGCGATGCCAGTGCCCGTCCAGCCCCGCCAGGTACTCGGGGTTCATGAAGACGGCGCGGGCCAGGGAGCCAAAGTCCTCCAGGGTGTAGAGTGCCTGGGACGAGACCGCGGTGAAGCCGATGAAGCTGAAAGCTGGGATGAGGAGCAGCGGGGCCCCATAGGTGCCCATCGCCTCCACGAAGGGCCGTCGCCAGCGGCTCAGACCCCTGAACCTGCGGGCAGGGAAAGACGCCCGTCAGACGCTGTCCTGGCACGGCCCGTCCCCCAGCGCCAGTCCCGTTCCCTCCCACGGTCGTCCCATCGCTCAGTCTTCTCTGCCCCTGATCCCACGGGGACTCTATGGCCGACCGGAGAGCTGGGGGGCTGGGGCTGGAACTTCTCTGCCCCCCGATTCCTCGGTGACCCTATGGTCAACTGGAGAGCTGGGGTCTCGGGCTGGGACTTCTCTGACCCCGATCCCACGGGGACCCTATGGCCGACCGGAGAGCTGGGGGGGGGGGCTGGCATCCAGTGCCTTCCTCCCTCCCCCAGGGGTCTCAATCCGGACTCCTCCCTTCCCCACCCCACAGGTCCCGATCCCTCCCCCCCACTCCAATCTGGGCTCCCCTCCCCCGCGCCTGTACCGTAAAACCAGGATGCTGGGGTTCACGGTGATAACGCTCGATTTGGTGCCCACATGCTCGGAAAAGCCCATGGGGGGCAGATTGAACCTGGAGGGGGGAGCAGCGGGAGCCTAGGGGCGTCTGGGGGACCTGGGGGTCTCCCCACTTCCTGGGGGTCCCCATGGCTCCACAGTTCCTTCCTCACAGTGCCCGGCTCAGAGACACCCCCTTGCGCTCCCCCCACCCTCTGATCCCCCTCCCTCCACACCCCCTACCCTACAGAGCCCACTCCAGCCGGTATAACCGCCCCCCTCCCCCACTCTGCCCCCCTCTCCCCACCCGGCCGGCGTTACCTGATGACGAACTGGGCGCGGTCAATCTCGGGGCCACAGCCGCTGTTATGGAGGATCCCCCCATTCCCCACCACGGCACAGCTGTCGTAGGGGGCGCCCTGAAACGGGGAGCCCTGCGGGGGAGGGGGCCTGCATCAGCACCCACCGACCATGCACAGGGCCTCTCCCACACAGGGCCCCCCTCCCAGCACTGAGATGCAGCCACCTCTGGGGTGGGGCCTGGGAGGCTGTTTATAAAGTACCCCTCACCCGGTGCTGAGATGCAGCCATCTCTGGGGTGGGGCGCGGATGATACGAAGCTGGGAGGTATTGCCAATACAGAGAGGGACCGGGATATCCTACAGGAAGATCTGGGTGACCTTGTAAACTGGAGTAATAGTAATAGGATGAAATTTAATAGTGAAAAGTGCATTTAGGGAGTAATAACAAGAACTATTGTTATAAGCTGGGGAGGCGTCAGTTGGAAGTAACAGAGGAGGAGAAGGACCTCGGAGTATTGGTTGATCACAGGATGACTACGAGCCGCCAATGTGATATGGCTGTGAAAAAAGCTAATGCGGGCTTGGGATGCATCAGGCGAGGTATTTCCAGTAGAGATAAGGAGGTGTTAGTACCATTATACAAGGCACTGGTGAGACCTCATCTGGAATACTGGGTGCAGTTCTGGTCTCCCATATTTAAGAAGGATGAATTCAAACTGGAACAGGTACAGAGAAGGGCCACTAGGATGATCCGAGGAATGGAAAACCTGTCTCATGAAAGGAGACTCAAAGAGCTTGGCTTGTTTAGCCGAACCAAAAGAAGGCTGAGGGGAGATCTGATTGCTCTCTATAAATATATCCGAGGGATAAATACCAGGGAGGGAGAGGAATTATTTAAGCTCAGTACCAATGTGGACACAAGAACAAATGGATCTAAACTGGCCATCGGGAAGTTTAGACTCTAAATTAGACGAAGATTTCTAACCATTAGAGGAGTGAAGTTCTGGAACAGCCTCCCAAGGGGAGCAGTGGGGGCAAAGGACATATCTGGCTTCAAGACTAAGTTTATGGAGGGGATGGTATGATGGGATAGCCTGATTTTGGCAATTAATTGGTGTTTGACTATTAGCGGTAAATATGCCCAATGGTCTGTGATGGGATGTTAGATGGGGTGGGATCTGAGTTACTACAGAGAATTCTTTCTTGGGTGCTGGCTGGTGAGTCTTGCCCACATGCTCAGGGTTTAGCTGATCGCCCGATTTGGGGTCGGGAAGGAATTTTCCTCCAGGGCAGATTGGCAGAGGCCCTGGGAGGTTTTCGCCTTCCTCTGCAGCGTGGGGCACGGGTCACTTGCTGGAGGATTCTCTGCACCCTGAAGTCTTTAAACCACGATTTGAGGACTTCAGTGGCTCAGACATAGGTTAGGGGTTTGTTACAGGAGTGGGTGGGTGAGATTCTGTGGCCTGCGTTGTGCAGGAGGTCAGACTAGATGATCATATTGGTCCCGTCTCACCTTAAAGTCTATGACTCTGTGACCATGCACAGGGCCCACCTCCCAGCACTGAGATGCAGCCACCTCTGGGGTGGGGCACGGGGGGCTGGTTATACAGGGACCCATCACCCGGTGCTGAGATGCAGCCACTTCTGGGGTAGGGCACGGGGGGCTGGTTATACAGGGATCCATCGCCCAGTGCTGAGATGCAGCCACCTCTGGGGTGGGGTGCAGGGGCTGGCCATAAAGTACCCCTCACTCAGTGTGGAGATGCAGCCACCTCTGGGGAGGCGCACGGGGGGGCTGGTTATACAGGGACCCCTCACCCGGTGCAGAGATGCGGCCACTTCTGGGGTGGTGCGCCCTGCGCTGAACCCCTGCCACACCCCCCCCAGCCCAGCGCCCCCTACCTGCGGCAGGATCTCCAGCAGCGCCTCTTGCACCAGCAGCTTCTTGGCCGGCTGTCCGTCGCAGACGATCCGGGAGCCCAGCGGGGTGTTGTCCCGGGTCAGCACCAGGTCGGCCGACGCGTTACAGCAGTGCCCCAGCTGCTCCCTGCGGGGGAGAGAGGGGTGACATGGGGGGGGCGAAGGGGTTTGGGGCACGGCGGGAAGTTGGGGACGGTACGGTGGGGGTGGGGGGTACCTGTACCGGCCCAGGGCGCCGGCGTTATGCGCCCAGGGGCAGCTCTGCACCAGCTTCAGCCGCCTCCAGATCCAGGCCTCGTCCAGCCTGGGGCGGAGAGACACAGAGTCACTGACCTGCCGGTAATCGGTGTAAGTCGTGTCTCCCCTCCGCCACGGGTGCCTCAGTTTCCCCTGTGTTTGGCATGGCTGCCCAGCGGGGGCAGGGCGGAAGGAAAGCCAAGTTCACAAGGAAAGCCAAGCCCCAGCTCAGTGGGGCGCTCCGAGAGCCCGTTCCAAAGGCGGGGGGCGTAGCCCCGATCCTGTGGGTCCATGAACCCCCGCCCCCAGCACCCTGCCCCAGACACGGGCCTGCCCCCAGCCACACTCGCCTCACGGGGAGGACGCGCTGGCTCTTTTCCTGCCCCAGCTCCCGGCACTGCTCTGCGTCCATCCCCGTGGCCTCAGGGCTGGAAAGGAAGCGGAGGGGTTAACTACGGAAAGGAGACACTCCCTGGGGGGGGCTTCCATCCAACCCCCCCAGAACTCCCCCATCCATCAGCCACAAAAACCCCCATCCATCCCCCACAGCTGCCCCATCCATCACCCCAAAGCCAATACCAGCGTTTCTCCACTCTCTGCCCCACTGAGTCCCACACCCCCCAGCACCCACGCCCCATCTCCCCCACACACACACACCTGGGCTTCGGGGTGCAGGCTGTGGGCCAGCCGATCCCTGGCTCGGACGCTGCTGTAGGACCAGCAAATGAGGCTGTTTCCACTGGCGGGGGGACACGGCTTCGGGGGGCACAGAGACATTAACATCAGCCAAGAGAGAGAGAACCCAGAAGTCCTGGCTCCCAGCCCCCCTGCTCTAACCCACCAGCC